CGAGTCATGAAATTGGAAAAATAATTGACAAGTTAAAAAAAAAACATATTGGTCGTATATTCGATTTTTTGTGGAAATCAAATTTTTTTTCAAAAGTCGAACCAAATCGAAATAATTTTAGTATTTCAATTCGATTTTTAATTCAAAAAATTTAAGTTCAAAACCAACCGAAATACATAATTCGATTCGATTTTATTCTTTGTTTAGCAAGAATTATGCTCACCCCTAGTGAAGCGTGTTACAAGCCATACACAAAGAGTGACCTACAAAGTGTTATAGCACATATCTCATACCGAATAGTTAAACAAATAATGAATCGTATATAAAGTTGAGAAGAGATCACCCACCATAAGATTTAAATCTTTTCGATGATATTTAATCTCGACTATCTAACTCTATATGGTATCGAGTTTCGAAAAGGCCTAACGGCTCAAGCAAAGATCTTGAAACCAAAACCAATTGATAGATCCAAAAGAGTGATTATAATAAGTGAGGAGAGTGTTAGAGCACATATATCATATTAAATAGTTAAATCAATGATGAATAATATATAAAGTCAAAAAAATATAATCCATTGTAAGGTTTAAGTATTTTTTATGGCACTCAATCTCAATTATCTAACTCTATATAAATATGGTTGGATTATCCTCGTCAAAAAGAAAATCATTATAACCATCTAAGAATGGACATCTATAAACTCAGCAATGGCTAATCAAGTCTAACAAATCATGGGTCTATTTTGAAAAAATATTTTCAAATCATATTTCATGTTATATTAAAAAATTTATAAATCTCATTCTTGTATGAGTTCACATATTTGTTACTAAAGTAACTCTTAAAGTTTTTTTATAAAAACTAGAGGGGTGATAATATATCTATTCACATAATTTTAATAAATAAATTTATCAATGCAGCTAATACTGTAGAAAAAAAAAACAAGGTTTTTAAAATTGAGTCACGAAAACACAAACATTTTTTATATGAAAAAAATTATCATTTTAATTTAAGAAAAAATTAAAATAAATAATTTTGTTTTTGGTTAAAAATAAGATGTATTTCTCTCTGATTTAAAAAAAATTAATTAAATGGTTTTTTTACCAAAAGCACAACAATATCAAACATGCATTATATATTTCAAAACTTAAAATTTGAGGGGAAAAAAGTTCATAATATAAAAATTTTTATTAAAAAAAAAAGGGAATGAATTGTAGTTTCTACGTGTTCAAGGTTAAAGAACAATTGTCAACCGCACACTTGGTATATTCTACTTCTGTGTAAGGATTCGATGAATCTATTGAGAAATGATTAAGTCAAAACTCTAGCCATTAAAAGGGGATTAATTTATTAAGGAATCTTCCTAATAAGGCAACAAAAGAATAAGAAAGTGGGTGACGTGGTAATGGCAGGTCTGTCATGTGCCTATAATTAGGCACCTAAACTGTGCCATTTGTCCAAGTCAAACCTGTTCCCCTTTGTCGTTTGTTTTTAACGGCTGTTGTTTTTCTTTCAGAACAGTGTGGACATCAATTACGGCGTGTCGTCTAATCCATTTTCTTTCTGGCTTTCCGCTTGGCCATTTGCCGGCGTTGGACGGCGCTTCTTCTTCTTCTCTCTCTCTCTGTCTCGCGTGGACGCAACACGCTGCTATAAACTCCATTTAATAAAGAAATAAAGTCCAAAAAGAATATTTTTCTTCAGAAAATAAATAATATTAAGATGAGGACGGGAAAACTGCCACGGGCGTGCTTACCTGCGGACAGGGACAGCACAGGGCTGCAAAAAGTTATTGAAGTGTAATTTTTATCCTCTGGATTCGTGATTATTTCTCCTTCACCCTTATGGTTTATATAATTTTTCAGTATTACTCTTATAATTTCGAAATGCTGTAAATCCATCCCTATTTGTTAAATACTTCATCTCTTCTAAAGAAATTGCTCCTTTATATTTATATATATCCCAAAATATTTATCTAATCAAAATTTTAAATGATATATTTTTTTAAATTACTCATAATTGATTAAAAAAATCAAAATCTTCTTCTATTTTCTATTTTTTACTCATAAAAAAATTAATATTATTTATATGATTCTCTTATGTGTAGAAGTTTATTTAACATAAAAATTTTAAAGAATTTTTTTTTGTTACATACAAATATTTATTTTTACAAGGACTCTACTTCATGTTGAAATTTCAAGAAAACAATATGTTGATTAGTATATTATTTTCTTATAATTATTTTAAATTTAATTGTTAATTAACTTAATTATTATTTTTTAATTCATCACTCTAATTTTAGATAGTTTTTTTCTTCTTAAATTAATATTGATTCTGTGTAATACTTGATTAAATTTAATAACCAATAATTTTAATAAAACATTAGAAAAATATGAAAAAAAATATTAATATGATATAATAATTAATGACCTTTTTAAATAGTGTGCAAAGTCAAATGGAACAACTTTTTGGAATAAAAAGAGTAGCAAGTAATGTCCGAACATGTACTCACTTTTTAAATATTATTTTGAGATCATATATATATGTGTGTGTGTGTGTGTGTGTGTGTGTGTGTGTGTGTGTAGAAGCATGTGTAAGATATTAGTATGAATTTGAGATAAAAAAAAGTATATATGCTCAATATTTTAATCAATTAATTCATCTAATTTTTATTACGTATTAATCTTTTTTTTTTTTTGACATGCTTTCAAATTGCACTACGAATAGATTAGCCCGAGAATGAGCCTCACTCAACACGAGGTCATAAGTCACGAGAATAGACACATGTATTCGATAAGACTAGTGTCTATGCTTTGTCTTTGAAATGCATCGGAGATATTAACTTGGTCGGCTTCAAGCATGATTCGTTAAAAGAATATCTAATTGTTAATTCATTTAGTTTTTCCTATCAAGTTGAAATAGTTAAACCCAAAGAACCTAAACCTTTAAAATCAAATCCGATCGTCCTAACTTGTATGATATGACATGATCCTAGCGGTTAAGGACTATCTTTTTTCACTATAAATATTAATCTCATATCATTATGTGGGGATCGAACTTTTGCTTTAGAGAACTTTTCACTTTAGAATTTTCAACCTTTAGCAAAAAAAAAAAAAAAAGAAGAAAAAAGAAAAAAACTCCATCTCAAAATTTTCTCACTCACACACTAGACAACGTCTAAAGTTTCACCTGTTTGGACCTTGACTATCCGTCATGCGCTTTGCTAGTATTGTCTACTTCTCGTACCACGCCTCTCACTATTTATATTATTTTTGCTTAGTTGATTGACTTTAACTTTGACTTTTACAAATCGTAACACTAACTCTTTGCATCTTCTTTACATCTTGATCGACTCGCTTACCAATTGTTTGATCAGTTCTTAAGAACTCTCTCTATAAAAAGATATCAAAAAAATAAAGTAAAATGAAAATTTTATATTCTATTTTTGAGAGTTTTTTAGAAGCACATGTAAGATATTAGTATGAATTTGAGATCAAAATATGGAAAATAAAGTAAAGTAAAATTTTCGTTTAATTGTTGAAGCTACTTAATATCGAAACTTTCGGAAATTATAGGGAGTAATATCGAAACATTTCACACCATAGGAAGGAAAATGAAACATTGATCAATTTCTTGGAGCAAAATACTTTATACAATTGACAAAGAATTCCGTATATCCAACCGCCATAAATTAGCAAAAGATGCTATACTCGCTTTATTGATCGGTTATCCTTTTGCAAGAGATATCACGTTCTTGTCGTCCATTTCATTCATTGCTGGCGCGTGGTTTTGTGATTTCTAAGTGGATCCTCAATTCGGGAGTGGATTTTCTCAATGGAATTGGCGAAGAAATATAGAAAAAAGAGGTGGGAAAATGAAAATTTTTTTGCTGTTCCCTCGTGCAAAAGCACAGGAAATACGAAATTATAAAACCTTTTTGTTGTTCCCTCGTGTAAAAGCACAACAAATCAAAATAATTTGGTCTATATTTTTGAACTTTTCAGCCGAAAGAAGTGCAAATAAAATGTCATTTTTTCATATTTCTTTTGACCAATGCCAGCAACCAACGTGATTTTAATTCATTCTTTTAAAAATTTGACCCTAAAGAACAGAATTTTGTGACTGCGGGTTCCCACTACTTCAGAGATCCTCGCAAAGATATTCTCTTCAGTTCAACTCGAAAGTGTAGATTCGTCTTGTAAAATAAGTATAGTAAAGTTTGAATCTGTAATTATTTGATCACTGAGGCAGGTTTCGTTGCTTCAGAAATTTCTGTACTGGTAATCCTTTGGCTATAAAAATTTTAATACTAAGTTAAAAAACTATTTTAATTTAAAAATTTAATATGATGAATGAGATATTAGAATATAATGTATATTGTTCTATCACAAAAACCAAAATATTTAAAATGAAAAGATGATGAGTTCTTTTTTTTTAGCCATAAATAGGACTGCATAAATCACAATCAGTGGTTAGATAATTAAAGGATTAACGTTAATAATTAGTAGTTAAGAGGATAAAAAAAATCATATCACCACAATAAATTAAATTGAATATCATTATAAAAATGAAAAATTATGTTTTAATTAGATTATTGTGAATATTTTCACAAGGACGAACCCATGTGTAATTTATTTTTAAAAAATAAGGATTCTGGTCGATTCAAGAGCTGATGAAACATAGTATAATAAATCTTAGGATTGTATGTTGCACTTAAGAACCTACAAGTACTTTGTGTATGTGTGTTGTAGTTGGACCTGTAGTCCTGTAGTCGGTAGATACCTTAGTGGATCTTTTAGTTGTTGATTATGTTTCCTTTTGCCCTTTTTAATAAAGTAATCAGAATGCTTGAAGGATTGTTGTTGAAGCAAGGCACATCATCCGTGCCTGAAAATTGGATCAGAATAATGTGAAATTCCTTTTCCGAGCTAGGCACCTTTTTTATTATGAAGTAAATTTGGATTAGTTTGAAAATTGCAAGCTTGTACTCCCATCCAAACTTTCCAATGGGCGGTGCATGCAAAACTCTTCTTCCTAAAGGGATTTCTCAGCAAGCAATGACAACCCGGCTTCGAGTGCATGCCACAAATGACAAAAAAGAAGAAGGAGAAGAAAAAGAAGAAGTGCCAATAAGTGTGAATTTTAAGATAAATATTTCAATTTATTTTTATTCAATACCATGAGTTTTTAATTTTTTTTATATTTTTAATTATATCTATTATGTCCTGAATAATATCTAAATCTTTAATTTATTATTTCGATTATTTTTTTGATTATGGACAAATTTGTGATTGAAATATTCTGATTAAAAAGCAAAAAACAAAAAAAAATCATTTAAAGTCAAACAATTTATGTGTTTCATTTAAAAAAAATTATTTCAATCATGAGTATTTTAGTTAAAAAATTTGCTGGTTGTTAGAAAAATTGATCAAACGTATAGATTGAAGACTTAAACAATATTCAAGTATATAATAAATATAATTAAAAGTATAAAGATAAATTAAAAATTTAAGTTATTATATAAAGATAAATTGAGCTATTTATCTAAAGTTTTATTATAATTATTGTTTACATGTTATATGTAGAATTGGATCGAATTATTTGGATAAATTAAACAATTTCTCTATAGATTAATGAAACAATGATGAATGGCATAATTAGAGATAGCTGGGTGGAGATGTGCACACTTTGTCATGCCATGCCCACACAGCGTGGGCAGCATGTCTCTCCATATGGAGGAAAGTGCCAGATTGGAATCATTATAAGTTCATGGCACTGTGCAGAGAAAACAAATTCTGACGATTACATACATGAAAATATTCCAAACAAATTTCTAATGCATGCTACCTTAAACCTTGCGTGAGTTGTATATTCTTTCACCTCAACATTATGTAAATTCAAGCACCGACGGTGCATAAGAAATTACTTTTTTGGTTCAGAACGTAAAGTTTTTCTTAATTAATTTGTATATTAATTAAGACTAAATTTATCTCTAGACATTATTAATAACACATCTCGTATAAGAGGAAAAAAATTGAAAAATGCAATATAAATATATAGTTTTAATTAGTACATTATAAATTAAAGTTAATGTCATTATTATGAGAAAAGCAAAAGTGGTAAATCTTACTTCACATTGCAGTTTTGATAATTAAGCCGTGGCTGTGGTCCAAATTTTGTAGTGGTGCATGTAGTAGTGATTGCAATTAGCATCCCTCTTCAGAGAAATTATTGTTCGAGTTAATTTGTGATCTATCCAATGTAAATAATTATACAGTTTTGCTGAGAGACTGTACATAATTGTGAATACCCTAGACAAAAATTAACTCAATTTCTACGCACAAGAAATCTGGCACCGGCAGTTTTTCCAATTAGATTTTGGTTTCCCTTCACAGAACTGTGGTTCGTGTCACCGTTCACATCTATATCCACGTAATTGGTGGGCCCAGTGGTTATTCAAATATTGGCAGACCTCGGGTACGTGGTTGACCAATGACCTGTTGCTCCCTGAATTGCAAATGGAAAACTGCGGAGTGCAAGCAAATTAATTGAAATACCAGCAACAACAAGTCTCTATTTTCCATAATCTTTGTTTCGAGAAAATCGAGCTCGTGACCTCTCAGTATGCATTTCATCATTATCATTATTTAGAGTATCAAATCGCTAATGACAAAACTCTCTTTACATGAATATTGTTTGAGATAAAGATATTGTATTTTGGGGTTTCAAAAGAATCATTATCCACGAGTAATTGCATGACAAGTTTTGAAATTTTATCAATTTTAGAGATGTGTAAAGAATGCATTCATCATCATATTCCTTCCATTTGAGAATAAAATACAATGTTAAATGATACTTTTCAAATGCATATTTTTAGATTTTAATTTAATAATAAAGTCATGTAAAAACAAAATCCGATATCATTAAAATATGTCACTTAGTTTAGCAGAACCAAAATAAAATGTTTCGAAACACAATGTTCAAAAACCAATAATAAAAAAAAAATTCAATTTGCAAAGTACGAATCCATATCGGCCTTTTGTGATCTTGACTACACTTAATCAATATTTTCATCTCTTACGTTGGGAACTCGCATGGTTCAACGGTGGATTAGTGCTCGATGTTCGATGTGCTTGAATTATCTTCCGGAGAGATCCAACCGTAATCAATTAGAGACTAAACTTTTCTCTTAAAAGTCATGCAATTCTCGATATTATATCCTATTGCACCAAATTGGTAGCCATATTTCTTATCGAGCTTGTACCAATGTGGATATGATGGCTAAACCGAATTTGTAGGGATGGGGACAATCCGATCGATTTTGTTAAGATGCTTGAACAACTCATCTAGAGACATAGAAAGAGAGGGCAATATGTCTTAATACCTTGTGCTTTGATTGCTTTTAGGTGGAGGCCTCGATTGATAATTGAACTCGTTGTCGATAGTTTGGAGGTAATATGAATACACCGCTTATATTGCCAGGAGTAATGTTCATAGGAGGTGCACATGGCATTTGATGATTTATATTTCTCATATGGAAAGATTGATGGTTTGGGTGCCATTGATTGTTTCATCGCCGTATTAATTGGAAACTAATATACTTTAGTTGATGAATGCCATTGTCTTTCCTACTATTAAAATTATTCTGCTTTAAACTAGTTTCTAAAATCTTTCTTACTTTAGTAGTTTGTTCCACTCTCTCAACAATAACCACTACATCAGCAAAGTTAGTTAATGAATTACCGATAAGTACTCAAAGTAAAGAGCTTAAAGGTATTGACGAACAAGCGATTGTTTTTAGCCATGAGAGGATAGATTTAAGCAACCATTTCACGTCATCTCCGAGCATACTTCTTAACGGGCTCTTTCACTATCCTTTTCATATTTTACAATATGGTTCTATCTAGGGCCACCTCTAAATTGAACTTGTATTAGTGAACGAAGACATCTACTAGATCTTTCCACCTTCGATTTTAGCTATATCAAGATGTATGTACCAACCAAAAGTAGCAACATCCAAAAACTCATGAAAGAAGTGAATTAGAAGCTTTTCATCATGTATAACCTCTATCATCTTACTACGAGTAGACTCGAAAGTGAGTTTTCGGGCATTGGATACTTGTGTATTTTATGAATTCCGATATCTTGAACTTTTTTGAGATGAAGACATCTAATATCAAATACATCTCGGTGGCTTTGACTTAGTCATACAAATCTATTCCCTCGATAACCCTTAAATGCTTAATTAATTATAACCTATTAGTCTCATCTATCTCCATAACTTTATCTTTTTGTAACTCTTCGGTTATAGTACCGATTGGCTACCTAACGACTCTCTTAATGAATACCATGAATAGATGTGGAGTATTGGGATATGATGACTCTTGAGTGGTGAATATAACTCTATATCCTAATGTTCGAAGATGGAATGCAAGCATGGTTAAAGGATGATCAATCATAAAAGGTAAATGTGGTATTACCTCGATAATTAATGTGAGAAAGGTGAGGGGTTCTTTAATAACTAGTGGCATAACAAAACTAGCTTCTTTAAAGGTCTCCTTATTCAATTTTTTTGCTTACAATAGTTAGTCGAGCCACATCTTCTTTGAGAGCTTCAACCTCATTGGTGTACTTTTGCTCCAACTCGATTTCTTTCTTCGTTCTTCATCCATCTCCTAAGTCTCGGTATTGTTGATCTTCGACGGAGGTTGAGTTTTTATGGTTTGACCTATACTTCTACTAAGATGAATGTGCAAAATATAAGATTTAACGGATACGATGCTTCAATAGGAGAACTTATGATTAGGTGCGAATATGAAGTGTGCTTTAACCGAAAAGAGCATTATGACTATCAATCTACTTTAAGACCAATATTAAGCTGAATATCAAGATGGTGCATATTATTGTTGCCATTTCTATTCTAAATGATGCCAACAACGACATGGTATCTTGATCCAAGAGAGCATTGCACATAAACAATCACCATTAATGGTACTCATGATAGCCATGATACTTCTAAAGTATCATAAGATAATATTATGAATATTCTACATAAGAAAATAGATAATATATACCTTTTTATCCCAACGACGACTTAGGGATAGGTTTTATATTTATCTACACGTGATTGAGCAAGGTTGGCTAACCTAACTACTTTAAAAGCTCACATTGTAGGCTCAAGCTCAAGCATAGTAAGAGATATTTAAAGCTTTATTCTCATGTATGAGGGTTACTACGTTGCCCTTCGTAGTCTCTTGCATAAGGATAAATTTGCCATGTAAGTGGATGTGTGAGTTTCGTGAGCTCCGGGACCATAGTCCCTCGAGTGCCACCTCCCTTCTTCTAATCTTAGATTAAGGGACAAGAGTGTGTACAAGTTCAAATATCATTCTTGTGTATGTGTTATTGTATGGAAAAGGATCAAATTTCATATACAAGCCCAAACATTAAAATAAAAAGCATAAAATACATACAAGTATATCAAGATAGAATAAATGCATAGAATAAAGATAATTCCCCAAAAATAGGAAATATCATAGGCTTAACCTCTAGTTTTCCAATAGAATCGTCATTCTATCACACGGTGACCTCTCGATGATTGCAAAAAGATATAAATGTATAAGTTTGGAGTCACCATTTAGTTTTCAAAAGGTGAAAACTAAGAAAAACCTAGCATTAGTCTCAAAAGTTCTAAATAAGAGGGTTGATTACACAACTAGAAAAAACTACGAGTCATCTTAATGTGCCTTCGCAATGAGATTACCTTATATTTCTAGTTTAGAATTCATTCATATAGGTCCATTCATAAGTCCCCTAGTTTATCATGACTTGTGAGCTCAATTATTTGCGCATTTTCTAATCGGTTCTAGGAGAGGTAATTTGAAAATTTAAAGAAGTCTCGGTCTCTCACCTAAAATGTCATTAGGTTGTTGGAGCCCATTTGAGAAGGTAAAAGTTAGGACTCAAAGCCCCATGCAAATTAAACCCCAATCCCACACAAAAATAAAAAAATAAAAATAAAATGAACATGGGCCATAGGCCTAAATTCACATGTCAAATCATGAAATAAAAATAATTACAAGTCCGTAATAATCTAAATATGGATACGAGCCTCAAGCCCATATCACCCTATCACGTTAATTTAAAATATTAAATTAAGTTCAAGGCCAAATTAAGAGCTAAACCTGTGAGAAGAAGAAATTCTTAGCACTAAAAAAATAAATTAAAATTAACTCAAACCACATAAATAAAACAATAAAAATAAATTAAATAATAAAAAAGGGTCGTCATTGAAAAAAAAGTCAATCTCGAGTCCTAAACTTACTCCTTCTAGATTGACATACAATGACATCACATAAAATAAACACACAAAATGTAAAACATAAAATTAAACATGTAAAAATCACAAATCACATAAGACGATACCATGAAAAATAAAATAGTCAATAGGCCTTCACAAAGTCCTTGGCCTATTAATCTTGATTTGGCTTATTTTAATTGTATAAAAACAATTATTAGCCTATTATCGACTTCATCATCAACCGATAGTTCTTCATGGACTTTTTATATGAAAAATAAAAATACTACATTAAGTCATTACCCTTAACCCCATATTTTTTTTGAAATAATAGTAATAATAAATTATATTAAAAATAAAAATAAGACAAGCCCTAAAAATTACTAAACATTCTCTACCTTAATAAAATCACATATACACATCAAAAAATTAAATTGGAATATTTTTAAACCTATCAAATAACATCAAGAACACTCAATTCCATATATTTTCAATTAAACCTAAATTACATAATTTAATTCAATTAATCACCCCAATTCTATGTTAATCACACGATTGATATTATA